GAAGATACTGCAATTGAGAGTGTTAATAACTATAAATAGTACTTAGGAACATGGATAACATCAGATGTAGACCAAACCAAAGAAATTAAGACACGTATTGAAATAGCCCGTACATCATTTATTAAACTTAAAAAGTTTCTTTGTTGTCGGGATATAAGGTTAGAACTACGCCTGAGAATGCTTCGATGTTACGTGTTGTCTACTCTTCTTTATGGTTTGGAAGCTTGGACACTAAAACAAGTTCATCTGAATAAGTTGGCCGCCTTTGAATTTTGCTGTTACAGAAGAATCCTACGAATATCATGGATTCAAAGAATGTCAAACATGGAAGTAACTAGAAGGATAGGAAATGAGCGGAAATAATATTAACTATTGAAAGACGAAAACTTGAGTACTTGGGACATGTGATGAGAGGGCAAAAATACGCATTATTACAACTTATTATGAAGGGCAAAATCCGAGGAAAGCGAAATGTGGGAAGACGAAGAACCACGAATACAACACCAGGATCTTCCAAGCTTTCTTGCGGGATTTTGTGTTCTATAATGAAGACCTAGCATTGAGCGAGAAATGTTATAATGCTTGGCAGCACCTTTGATGGACATTCCGTTTCTATTTGATATTGGGGTACTATTTACTTAATTTTTTAATGCCAACCACAAATTTTCAATACCATTCAAATCTGGTGACTGGGCTGGTGTTTGAATAACATTTCGGCAATTATGAAGAAACCAAGTACTAACCCGATATGACGTATGTTTTGGATCTTTGTCATAATAAAACCAGTAATTGTTATTGATACCTAATTTTTAAGCACTAGCGACAAGATGCTGCCTTAGTATATCCAAATACATGTACTGGTTCATATTTCCTGCAATAGAATGCATGTTACCTACTCCTGTTAACGACATACGCACTAAATCATGACCCACCTTCACCGTAGCTTTTGCATTTTTTAATTTTAGTTCTGCATTCGGCTTTCTCCGTACCGATAGGTGTCCATCGGTCCCAAACAAGTGTATTTTAGTTTCATTAGCAAATATTACTGAATTCTAAAAGCTTAAATCTTTGTTTGTATGTTCTCTGGCGAACTACAATCTAATGCAATTGTTTCTTTGGCTAATAAAAAGTTTATTTCTAGCAGTTTGGCCATGTAGATTATTCTTTCGTAATATCCTTCTAATTGTTTCGGAGTTACATCGTTTTTCAAACTGTCTTTCCACCTCATTTCACAATTTTGGTGCACTTTTTTATTTGTTATTTCCCTAACAATCCATCTTTCTTACGTTCAACAATGTGCTGAACTATTATTTACTATTTTGGATATGTCTCTTTGGCTATATCTGTTTCTATGGTGAGTAATAATTAAATTTCTTTCACTAATCGTAGTTCGGCAACCTATTCTTAAATAATTTTGTTATTTGCTAATTAAGTTACTTGAAATATCAAATTAAACATAAAATTAACTGGAAGATGAATTTAATGCAACGCCTACTTACCTATAATTGTATTTTTTAATAAATATTAAGCCGCTGACATAAGCTAGCATCATTGTATATTTTGGAAACTGCGGTTCACAAAATAAAAAAAAATCATGGCTCATTATCCCAACACACTTTTGCAAATATTCACTGATTTGCTAAAAATTATAGACAGCTATCCAGAACCAGGACATAGTTTTCTGCCTTGCGATACAAACTTCAGATTCATTAAAAAGGAATCGCTAAAGGATCGTATTGCCGACAGAGTGGTGAAAAATACATAGGAACTAGTGATGTAACGAATATTCGTATTCGCATTTGCGAATATTCGCATGTTTTTGCATATTCGCATTCGCGAAATTTGTGAGAATGTTTTGCGAATATGAATATAAGAAAAAGAAAATAATTTAAAGATTAGGTTAATAAAATAAAAATCCATTCACTTCTCAGTTTCTTTATTAAGTAAGCTTACTTTATTTTATAAGCTTAGAAAACTATAAAGTTAGAAAACAAAAAATAAATGATGCAATGTAAACAAACAGAAACAAATTATTCTCTGAAACTTTTATTATGAAGTTTTTAATTTTAGACAATCATCTTGAAAAAGCTAAGCATTGTTCAACTACAAACTAAAAATAGTATATGTGTTTTTATGTAAAAATTTTAAAACAAACTTAAACAGACTGTTATTTGCTTATAGATCTTTTCCAAAACTATTAATTTTTTGTTAACAAAAATACTGCTCTCCCTTATTAAAAAATGACAATTCTCTGTTTTTACTTATTTTTCAAGTTTTTTTTTAACAATAAGTGAAAACAGAGAACTGTCATTTTTTACTAATTAAAGTTTAATAGAGGAATATTAAACTTTAGAAATAAAAGCTTCGACGTCTTTTGTCCTTCAAGCCTGTTTCGATGTGGCGTATAAAGAAGTCCAGCGCCACTAAACAAGCGCTCGCTTGGGACACTCTTTGGTGATATAACTAGATATTGCCTTACTACAGGAAAAAGAAGATCGTACCTTCCCTTGTTCACTTTCCACCATGTTAGAGGGTCGACGTCACCTGCCACGCGTTTTTCTGATGAGAATTCTGTGACAGTTTTACTGAGTAAAAGATGGACAGGGTTTTGAAAACTAAGAGACATGTCATCTTCGTCACTATCACTCGTATCCATCAGTAAACTCATCATTTCTTTTAAGGACAGACACGCTTTGCAATTCGGTAAAGTGAATTGGAAGATATGTCGGTTTGATTGTCTCTGAGCAAATCCAAAATATGCTCTATGACAAGCTCTTTAGCCGACGTATTATGAAAAAATTTTGCTTTATATCTTGGGCCAATGAAGGTCGCCGTGGCAAACAATATGTCATTTTCTAAACCCGAAAACTTGCGAATGAGTTCGTCTTTTATGACGGTAATTGTATCACCAATGTGTTCATCGAGTGAATCAAGATAATGAACAACTTTTTCTAGAGTGGCGATTAAGGAAATTACAGAAGAAATAGAAACATCGACAGCAATTAACTCTCTGGTTATTTCTTTAAATGGTCTTAGTAAACCGATAAGTTTTTCAACAGTCATCCACTCTTCAGAAGCCAGTTGGGGAATTTTATTATTTGCCGAAGCGTACAGACATAATGACTCTGACTTGAAAAATACGCTCCAACATATCTATAAAAAGTGCTGTTCCACCTAGTAGCACATTTTTGGACAATCTTAAAAAGTTTTTGATTAAAGCCTTTTTTGGTATATTGGTCAGCTAATCTTGGGCAGCAGTCGAATGATGAAAATAAGTTGCCATCTTTTTGCATTTTGTTATGACAGCCACGACAGATTCTTGAGCCTTCATCCCTGCTTTTAACACGTTTTGAATCTTGTGAGAAGCACAGTCAATATGTTCAACACTCAAAGTTAACACCATTTTTCATATTAGCAGCTCCATCGCCAACTACACATTTCACCTTTTTTTGGGTATTTCCCAAAACGACAAGATGTCTTTAAGTTTGTGAGCAATATTTTCTGCAAAATTGCTGAATTACTAAATTTATCTGAACTTATTTAGGTGTGGACTACACACCTAGGGCAATTGAGGCAGTGCCGGAGACAATTAAAATTCCAAAATTAAAAAAAAAACTTAATATTCGCATTCGCGAATGTCGGTGGCATATATTCGCATTGGCGAATATTCAAAAAATGACATGTGCAATATCATTAGTAGGTACCTAAAATTTATAGTTCTTCTAAACTTTTAAAAATTGTTTGTCGAATCAAAGGAAACAAAAATTTGGTACTTATTTATATCTCCTTATTTCATATATATGTCACTTTGTTAATTAATTGATTTGAAATTTATTTTTATCATTGTTTTAAGCTTCAGTGTAAAAAGGGGTAACTCCAAAGTTTTTTATTTACTAGCCAATCAAATTTTCAATAGACGCATTTTATGGGTATATTCTGTTTTAAATATTAAGAGTTAGCATGCAATTAAAACAAATAAATTAAACGAATTCGTCAGTTTTTATTCTAAAAAAATAAATGGAGTTGCATCCTTTTTGAACCAGTACAGTGTCTTCAATTATAAGTACAGCTGCGGTTATTGAATAGTTTTATACCCTTACATATCTAGTAGCCGATATTTTGAATTTTTTCCTCATTTAAACCCAGATTTTTATGACGAAGTGACATTATGAGTGGCAGACCCGGACAAAATAGGTTGATTAAAATTTAAAATACCAAAATAAAATAAATCTACATTAAAAAATGGAAATTATAGTAAGATGTTTTTGCTGTTCTTCGAGTTTGGGGTGATTCTAGTTTGTTGTACATGATTCAAATGCATTCTAGGTATTTTGGACGACTGTGAAATTTTTGGCAAGCACTTTGACGTTTAGCAAATCCATACAACAATGTGATTTTGATTTTATAGTATGATAAAGTAAAAATTATGATGTAAACGATTCAGTGACTGCATTTGTACATAGTAATATCAAAAAATGAAATCTGACCATACTTTTTAGTCACTTGAAAATTAGATCTACAAAGAACTTACTTAATTGAGATACACCACAATATTGTATCTTTTAAAAACAAGTCCCCAGTAATACACATATTTGAATGATCTACATGTTAATAGCATACAGAAAAACATCCACAGCCATCTTACACTGATGTGTAAAGCAACATAAAATTGAATCCAGCCTCTTTCAGTTTTTCAAAACATTGCACCAAGTTGTTCATGTGGTCTCATTTCCATCCTTTATCTTCCTAATAAAATCATAAACATGGAATGGCACATAGGTATATTGGCATTTAGTATATAAATGTGCAATTGTTCATTTTTATGTAATGGATGATACTCATTTCAAAATCCAATTGTTTTCAACCCATTAAGTCTATATATAGATCAGAAGTAAAAATCAGATTAGAACTGTCAATGAGATAATATTTAAATAAATAAATCTTCCATCAATAAATCATCACAGTTTTACTTTCAAAGTTACCATAAAAATAATACAAAATACAATCTTATAATTTATTTAACAAAAAATGTTAATATACATGTACAAAAAGTTATTCTCTTTTGCTATGCTCAGGCACTGCAAGTGAAAAGTCCAGTCTGACCCAAATAATTACAGCTACAAACAAAATGAAGAGTGCTAATGATAACAGCAAAGGTTCATGTAACAACAACTGTGGTTTCCATTTATAGGTGATTTCCAAATCTTGAATGTGTTGTTCAATCAGGTCCCTTTTTTTCAGTCTTATAACTTTACGCCCAAGGTTGTCTAAATATTTGTAAGTAACATCATCTGATAGTCTCTCAACATCATAGGGTGGTCGAATTTTGATATCAGTGACTCCAACAGGAAGGACTACATTAGTAACAACTTCTTCAACATACATATCATCAAAAACATGGTCAATGAGCCTCATGGCTAATACATTATCTCCATTTTCAGCCTTGAAAAGGTACTGGTAACTGGGAACACTGTAGCCAAGAGTATAAGAACTTTGCCAACCTCCAAAAAGTGGGAATCTTGGTCTTAATTCAAGTTCTATCCAATCCTTACGGTGTTTCACAGCTGAAGTAGAAATGTTACCATTGCTGTCTCTATAATAAATGCTATGAGCAGTGGCTGGTAAAACAGTAGTGTATGATTTAATACTGTGATGTGTACTACTGGTATCTCTTTGGTAATCATATCTTGAAAATGGCCCTTTTAATGTAGCTCCTGTGTGTTTAATTTCAATTTGCTCTTCCACAGCAATGTTACCCCAGTGAGATATTTCAATTGTTCTATCTAGATGGACAACTGTCAAGAATGGAGCATTGTTTTCATAATGAACTGATAGTTCATCCACAGCAAAGGCTGCAATTTCTCCATATGGTCCATAATGTATTGTACTATCTGTTTGAGTAACTGGTTTCAATTTAGAATAATTTTCAATACTTCTAGAGCTTAATGTAACATCAGTTTTTTGTTTAACCACTGTGTATGGTGTATAAATATAATGATTACCAAAATACCTTACTAACTGCTTCTCTTTTTGAGAAATGCTATTTGGATATGGAATTAAACTTTTAATGAGTATTTCTTCAACCACCACTGTTGCAGTACGGCCAGGTTCCAAATTTTGTCTCAATATAACTTTGTGGAATTTCTTATCACTCTGGTTTTCTACTTGGGCTGTTAAAATGTTTAAATCTTGCTTGGCTGAGTCTTTGGCACCTTTAAATGCTACTTGCCCAACTAAACTTGGTTGCTCCGCCAGTAGAAAATTCTTGATAGGGTCTGCGCCGGCATTTTCAAGAGTTATGGTGCTGGTGATTTTTACTAACTGTGACGTTAAATCTATAGTTCTATCCACATTTTTATAAATTAAATTATTGTTGATTCTTTCTGCTGCATTGACGGTCACGATTATGAAAATGAAGGTGATTAATTTCAACATTATTTTAAATTTTACATTCAATCACTGAACACATCACCGTCTAGTTGCTTCAATTGACGTTTCTTAAGGACTTGACGTGTTGACGTGTAATTGGTGTGGAATATGACAGAAACAAGTAGGGAGTTTCTTACAAGTATACTTTTAATTTATCTTTTGACGCTAATTTTTTTTATAATTAAATATTTATTCAAATGATCTTAATGTGAATTTTAAAAGACATATTTTCCTTATTATTTATATCCAAGAATTTGTCGTCTTGTGTAATAATGCTATGCTAATTTTTGAAACATCATTCTATATTTTTTGACAGGTGACGAAAAACGTCTACAGATTCCTGTAATATATTTTCTTTCATAAATATTGATTAAATTCAAAATATAAATTTCATAGGTTATGTATTTAGAATCATAAAATATTTATAAAAAAGTTTTATTAAAAATCAATACCATTAACTTGCGAAGTTAAAAAATGCGGTATTATCATGTCATAATTGATGAAATTTTTATGAACTCATAACTGACAAGAATGGTAAGCTAGTTGAATAAGAGTTATTTTGAAGTTAAAATGAATATTTTTTAGGATAATTCTCAGAAGTACATAACAATATCTGTAGCAGCATTTATTTGTTACTGCAATACCTTAGGAGGATCGTTTGTTTTTGATGACAATGAAGCTATTATAAAAAATAAAGATGTGATGCCACATACTCCCATTTTGAATATATTCAAAAATGATTTTTGGGGGACAGATATTACTTTGAATAGCAGTCATAAGTCTTACAGGCCACTTACAATATTATCTTACAGGTACATCGATTTTGTTGAAAGTTGTTTATCTGTGACATCCCAGTTTCACTCTCATTTAGTAATTTATTTATTTAATTTTAACAGTTGTTCTACATTTGTTTTAATTTTCAGATTAAATGTACTTTATTCTAAGAATAAACTGGATGCGTTTCAATTCCATGCAACAAATATAATTCTCTATGGACTTCTATGCCTACTAACAGTACCTGTTTTTGAACTATTTTTAAAAAAATCAAAATATGCTACTAATATCCATGACATCGCCTTCCTGTCTGGCTTACTGTTTACTGTACACCCTATACATACAGAAGCAGTAGCTGGTTTGGTAGGCAGAGCTGATATTTTGAGCTCAGTATTATTTTTTGTGGTCATTTTACTGTTTCATAAATTTAGAAATAGTTTTGGAGAAAGTGTAATTTTTTGGTATGTTCTGGTAGCTATATTAACTTGTTGTGCTGTCCTTTGTAAAGAAACTGCCATAGCTGTAGTGGTGAGTATTTTAACATATTTTTGTTTCTATAAATTTTACAACAATGTCTTTTTACATAATGCCAGTATAAATCAATTGTACTACTACCAATTAGCTTATTGTACATTATATGTTATTGTAGTGTGCATGTTCACTAATTGCCTAATTACTAAGTAAAATTGGCTTCATTCTTCTTCTTATACAAGGCCCGTTCTTGTTTAATCATAAGCCTAAAGTGATCTAACAATATATTTCTATATAGTCTGTATAGAAGGATAGTTTAAAGCCATGGAGGCCTATATGGAGCACAATGAAAAGTTTGTGCTTAAATAAGCTTAATGATAAAAAAAAATCCCATTAATGAATATAAAAATCTAAAATAGAAACAGAGCAATGGATATCTTATATAAAAGAAATATAAATCACAAAAGAAGAAATCAGATATTTAATGTGGATTATTCTTCTTTATGCTGTCTTTTATCAAACATTTCTAAAGTGGAAATTGAAATGTCAAAATAAACATTTTGAACTAAAATTTTGGTTAATTCCGAATAAAAATAGTAAATCATATTAGAATGCCACAAGAAAGTAGCTTCAGAATATAAAACATTATCAGTGATCTTTTAAATTTCCTTTTTTTAGGGTGTGCTAATTCTGTATGATATATACAGAGAAAAGCGAAAGTCAGTTCCATGGTCAGAAATGTTAAGATTTTGGTTGATTGTAAGATGCATGTTAGTTCTGATAATGGGCATCAGTATTATGTATTTTCGTTTAGAAATTATGAATTTCGAAGGTCCCCTATTTACTTATAAGGATAATCCAGCAGCATATGCTCAAACTGTGTTTACAAGGGTAAGTATAAATTTAATATATGATGCAGTAAACTGGTTTTATTCACATTATTTAAACATTTTTCCAAGAAATTATAAAAGCACCTAAAAACTAAATTTATTCTTCCCTTTACAATATTGTTTAATATGTTTGTATTAACTGTGCACAAAAACAACTTTTGATGTGGCATTTTTGATTTAGCTAGTTGTCAATAACAAAAACAGTTTTATGTTGTGATCATTCCTTATTTAAAAAAAATTACGAGCTTAAAATATAATAAAACTGATAACTCCACAAGTGTGCATTTTTTTCTCACACTTATTTGCTTTTTTGAAAATTGTTTCAATCAATAAAGAACTACCTCATCTAATAGGTCTCTGAGAGACTTCAAATCTTTACAGAAATGCAGTTCACCAATACTGGTTGTGTAAACACAATGCAAGGCTGCATCTGCATCTAGTATAAATCCAGAAATTCATTATCTTTTCATTTGTCCACTCCATTTCACAGTAGGTACTCAATTTCACAGTAGATAGTTGTATATAAACACTCAAATTTGACGAATTAAAGGTTTAACAATAACGAGAATTACAATAAAGTTAGGTTAAGATAAATAGCTAGATAACCACTGGTATGAGTGAAGTGTGAGTAGTTGACACATTATTCAGCATGCATTCATCTTACTCGTGTCCTTTGAAGCATGTCAAAAAACCGACAAGGGACGGATTCTATTTGAATATTCGCTTATGTGTGTGTGAATAAAGCAAATAATTGACGGATGTACTCCCCACACTTCGTCTTATGCAGCCAAATATGGCTCATAATGAATAGTGCATAGCGAAGTGTGGTGGCGCCATGTGACTTTAATATATACTTTTTTGTTGCAGGTTTTTACATACAATTACATTTATTTGCTGAATTTTTTATTGTTACTATGGCCTCAGTGGTTATGTTTTGATTGGTCCATGGGGTGTATACCCTTAATAGAAAGTATATGTGATATTCGTGTTGTGTTTGTCATACTTTTTTGGTGTCTAACGTCTTTTGGATTGTTTGCTATGATGAAACAAAACTACAAAAATGAAGTTTTGTAAGTATTACTATGATTAATTATATCTTGGAAAATAAATATATTTCTTAAATGAACATATCAATAAGAGTTTTTACTTAACATTTATTTCACTGTTTAATAAATGTTAAGGAAAACGGTTTTGATAAACAAATCACAAAACAGAATGTGGCACTCTGGGAGTGATCAAGGTGGGCACCATAGCTTTCTTTTCACTTTCGTTTTTAATTTCATTTGATTTCGTGTTTTAATTTATTTTATATATTACTTTATTGTATCTTATTTTATTTGTTTAATTTTCTTTAACTATGCCAACAAAATATGATTTGTGTATGTCTATGTATGTTTACAGGGACGCTAGAGTTATGGCAGTCTGTCTCATAGTTTTGCCGTTTTTACCTGCGTCAAACATTCTTTTTACTGTTGGTTTCGTTATAGCAGAAAGGACATTGTTATTGCCGAGCGCAGGATTTTGTCTTTTAGTAGTTATTGGATATAAGAAACTTCTAAGGAAAAGTGACAATAATAAAGTAAGTAGGTATTGACATTTTTCAAAAAATATATATAAATTGTATATATTTGGATTTGATTATTTGTCCACACTGTATAGTGCCAATTTTAGTAGTAGATATTTCGTAACATTATACACTTTTTGTCGTGCTATAAAATCTATGGTTAGAATAGCCATTCTATGGTTCTTTGGGTAAACTAATTTTTCAGATACAAAGAGTTCAGAGAAACATCAAAAATTACACATACTTTGAGTCATTCAAATAAACAAATCTATTTGTGTGAATGTCTTAGTGTTTTATTAATAATTAAGAAGTGCTTTAAATAAATCTTTAAAATGTCACCAAGTCCATTACCAAAAAATCCACACCGATTGCGAGGTTCATCGAGTAGTAATTTTATGGGATAAGGTTGTTAGCTCCATGTCCAACCCTAACCTGAAGGACCAGGAGTCTTGATTTCGGTCACCACCCTTCACTTTGACTGGAGAGTATTGCACTTTCATAGTATCTGATTACTCTACGGCCACATATCTGCTTGATATCACCTTAAGTTCTACTTCACTACTAATACAGCTGCTGCCCCTCACCAGTGATCTTTTACCTTCTGGTTTCGATCCGCTTTGTTCTGCTCTCTTTAAACTCCCCCCTATTCTAAACCTTTGGAAATTTGGAAGAACCAGAAAATCCACGGCCCCTTCGCCACAGGAGTAATGGTTGGAGACAAAAATGAATGCGTATTTTTGACTTATATCTTCATCAGAACAGTTCTACCGATTTAGAATAAGTAAAATTAACTTATACAATGCAAATATGTTGTGGTATTAATACTACTATAGAAGATCCTAATTTCTAGAGCTACAACTAATATCACTACGGAGAGAACTGGATTCACCTGTGAAAAGGTGGGGGCACAGTACAAACTATAATAAAAATGATAGATTTTGCTAATATAATATCAGGTAAAAGGAAAAAGATTATTGGTCGAAGTTCGCATAAAATGGATGGCAAAAAAACTTTTTTTTCTTTTCTTCATTTATTTTATGTACCTATTTATTTTTATGTATTTTTAGATTTGCTCCTGTTTTTTCTACGGACTTTTAGTATTGTTTATACTTAGAACGGTATTACGTAATATGAACTGGCTCACGGAAGAAAAACTATTTTCTTCGGCGTTAGAAGTATGTCCTTTAAATGCGAAAGTACACTACAATATAGCGAAAATAGCCACCGACAATAATAATAAACCCTTAGCTTTGGAAGAGTATCAAAAAGCAATACAACTCAACCCGCAATACGAACAAGCGATGAACAATTTGGCTAATTTGCTCAGAGAGGACAAGAAATTCGAAGAAGCTGAAGTTTTGCTCAGAAAAGCTGTTGAAATAAGGTTTGTAATCATATTTAATTTTAAAATATCTTGAATGTAGAAATTAAGCCCATGTTTAATTAATTTTTTTTAATTGTAATTGATCAATAGGGATAATTTTCTATTTTCCTAAGGGAGCAACAAAAATATGAAGCTATTTGACCATGTCATCGCAGTAAGAAATTAGTATTAATAAAGAATAGCGTGGTATATATTATTTTCTAATATTCTGCGATGTAATGGATGGAGCCTCACTTAATCGATTTTGCCATTATAGATTGTCAATAAAAATAAATGATGAAACATTGGGCCCTAAAGGTCGATTCAGACACATCAGTCCCGTCACAGTCTCGGCGCCGAACCGGTCCTGTTTGGTCACAGAACTATTAATTATCTGGTAGCTGGGAAACTGTTCGTCGCCTGATGAATGTGAATGCCGGCGCCATATTTCTATTAAAGAATATTTTGTATGACGGATTGTTCGGTTCGGCGCCAGGACTGTGACGAGACGTGACTGATGTGTCTGAATCGACCTTAAAACGACCATTATTGGATTACCACAAGGAAGTACTATATTTAATAATACAGCAGATGTGGAATGTAAAATTAAATATAGCGAGACTATTCCTATACTACAATTTGCCATGATATCAATATTATAGTTTGCTTATTCTGTCTGGCTTTCCGTAATGAAAATCCCAGCGTCACCTATATACAAAAACTAATACAATCTCTGTAGCAGCATTTATAATGTTCAATGTTCCATGTCTTTTGCAATAAAATTTCAAATGAACCCTCTATAACAACGTCAGGTTGATTTGAGCTTGACGCGGTATTTAGAAGAACAGACTCTGTAGGATTTTCACATTTCTTTTTTGCTAAGCTTTTCTTGACAGCTTCTTTGTTCCTTTTAAGACTAGTTTTACCTTCTAGTTTTATTTTTGGAGCACTTACAAGTTTTTTGGACGATTTCGGTTTAACCTTCCCCAATTTCATTTTAATTTGCTTTATCTGTTCCTGCGCTAATTGTAACTGTTTAGCTAATTCTAATTTATTTTTTTTATATGGACTTCCCGTCAAAACTATTGCCTTTTTTGCTGTTCCCTTGGATTTTGGATGAGGCTTCGGTATCGGGGAAATTGAATCAATTAAAGTGTTAAGTTTTTGACTTGCTTCACGATTTTTTTTAGTAAGCCTATTGATCTACGTAGCTAAACTCTGTTTAGGACTAGGTAGTTCAGACCAGATTATTTCGTACTCTACATTAGCTCCTGTTGTAGACCTAAGTGGTTCCTTGTTTGTCTCATTAGACTCTTCCCGACATGTTCACCATCTTCCCGAGTTTCACAGCCTTCATGATCATTTAAATTTTCAGCAGCACAAAAGTCATGATCCTTTAAGACCACGCGATCAACAGGCCATACTCCACTAGTTCGGAAACCATTGACTGCTATTTCAGTACTTGTTGCTCTTCCATAAGCTTCAGAAATCAAACCAGCTACGTGAAGTTGTCTAACACATAATCCGGGGTTAGAACCAAGCCACTTTTCAGCTGATTGAGTGTAATAGCCTTTGAAAGGCTTAAAGAATGATCTGTCCAAAGACCGCACGCGATGGGTCGTATGCCCAGGCAATTGTAGCATTATTACACCGTGCTCTCTAGCGTGTAAAATTGCTTCAAGATTCTTGGAGTGAGTTTTATGCCCATCTCGTACCAAAAAGCTTTTTTTCTACTGTTGGGTTTACAGAATAAATAAAATGCTGTAGCCATTTTACAAAGAGATCACTCAATGGTGGAGCAACAGCCCTCAAATCATTGTTCATTCGCTTCTTCTTCGCGTGCCATATCAGAACTATCCAACGTTGGCGATCACCATTGCGAAGGCTTCTCGATATTCTGCAATATGGAATAATTGTCCTGCATTTGGTATCTGAGTCCATTCACGAATGTTTTTTAACCAAGAAACTTGTTTTCTTCCTACACCTCTACGGCCCTCTATTTTGCCTTTAAAGATCAGTTGCCTGACACTGACCCAACTTGCCATTTATCTTTTTGTGCAAGAACCTTTTGGTTCTGCACAGTGCTGACACCCGTTTCGTCAACGTTAAATATCCGACTTGCATCAATATTATTTTCATCAACAATTTTTTCCAGAAGATTGAAAAAGACATAAACACTCCTTTTATTGAATCCTTTTGCGCGCATCATGGACGTTGCTTGAGGTTCTCTTAGTGAGATTATGTCCTTCTGACGAACTTTGAAAGCATAAAACGACTTCTTTCCTGCCATTTGAGATTGTTTATTATAATCTAAACATCCTCGTCTCCAGTTTTAAAATGTGATCAACTAGCTCCTTCTCCACTGCTGTTGGTAACACACTGCCTCGGCCAAAAGCCTTCGTTTCTTGATTTTCCTTGAGATTGGTCCCTTTAAGGTGACGGAGCAAGGTAGGGTTAGGGACTCCATACTTACTGCAGTATTCAATTTAATCCCATGTCTCCATGAAGAGCCTGCTCATGTCGTCCACATTCCAAGTCCCATATTTTCATTTGGACATCTAAAAGACACAAGAACGATGTGTGTTATTTATTTTGTTTAATTACCTCTTTATCTTTCATTATAGCTTCAATTTTAATGTTTCAGGCCAAATTTTGCAGCTGCTTGGATGAACTTAGGAATAGTATTAACCAACTTAAACCAATCGGAAGAAGCTGAGCACTGTTATAGGATGGCAATAACTCATAGAAAGAAATATCCTGATTGCTACTACAATCTTGGGAATTTGGTAAATTAAAACTATTTTGCATGGATTCGTTAATTTTAATTGAGTATTTTTATTTCAGTATTTGGATCTAAGACGAAATGAAGATGCTCTAAAATCCTGGGAAATGGCTGTATTGTACCGACCAACTCACGTAGCCGCTTGGAGTAATACGTTAGTGTTGCTAGACAGTATGAAAAAGTACGACGAAGTGTTAGAACTGGGGCGTACGGCGCTCATTCATAATCCCAAAGCTCCGGCATTGCATTTCAGTTTTGCGAATACATTGGGAAAGATACAGCAGTTTGAAAAGGCGGAAGGACATTTTTTGGAAGCCATCAATCTCAATCCAGAAAATGGGCTTTATTATTCAAACTTAGGTAAATAAATATATTGCATTTATTTTTAAAATGTAGTGCGGTGTGAGATAGGATCTCGCGGACGATCCTGCCGAAAAGAGTAAGACGCTAGAACAGCCGTACTCAAACTGTGGTACGCGTACCACTGGTGGTACGCAAAGAACTTTAAGGTGGTACTCTATAAACTAGAAGAAACGAAGAATTTTAATCAAATTTATCAACGAATGTTATCTTTTACGTGGTGCATGGCAACGCTGCGAGTTGGAAACACAAGCGCGTAATGTCTTATTCATTGTTGGCAACACTGGAATCCCGGCAAACTGCCACCGCCCTTGACTCACGTCATCAGTGGTCATTAGTTTCCTCGTGGCCGTCAGTCGTTGTGGTTAATTTTGTCGAAACGAGTAATTTGCTGTTATTGATTCGTGCTAATTTTTGCATATAAAAAATGGATAAGTGGCTTAAAAGAGACAACAGAACATCTGAAAATCCCGGTCTATCGAGCTCCACTTCAGAGTCGGAGCCTATCCAGGGTGATGACAAAAAGAATTATTTTAAAAAACTAAAAGTGGCGGTTAGGAAATATGATCCTGAATACATTAATATGGGATTTACATTCACGAATATAAATGATGAGCCAAGGCCCCAATGTGTAATCTGTTCGGAAATTCTTTCTAACCAGTGTATGAAACCTTCGCTATTAAAACGCCACTTCAGTACAAAACATTCAGTGTTGGAAAATAAACCGAAGGATTACTTCGTTCGGAAGTTAACGGAGATGAGAGGCACAAAAAAATTAATGTCGAATTTCACCGCCAACAACCAAAAAGCAGTAGAGGCATCCTTCCTCGTGAGTTTAAGAATTGCGAAGTGTGGAAAATCGCATACAATCGGCGAAGAACTAGTTCTGCCTGCCGCACAAGATATGGTAACGTGTATTTTTGGAGAGAATTCAGGTAAACAGCTTAGTATTATACCGATATCCAATGATACCGTACGACGTAGGATTGAAATAATGGCATTAAATGTTAAAGAGAAATTGATAAACCGGATAAAAAAATAGTATTTTTTTGCAATATAACTTGATGAGAGCAGATATTACAAACTATGCTCAGCTTATGGTTTATGTGCGGTATATATTTCAAACCAAAATCGAAGAAGAGTACTTATTTTGTGAGGCGTTAACGGAACGAACTACTGCCGATGAAATATTCAAGAAAATCAATGATTTTTTTGTGGAAAATGGACTAGACTGGAAACAATGCGTTGGTTTCTGTTCGGATGGTGCCCGAGCCATGACAGGAAAATACGGAGGTGTAACTGCCAAAGTAAAACTGGTTGCAGAAAATTGTACTTTTACCCATTGTAGTCTCCACAAAGAAGCTTTGGTAGCAAAGCGAATGCCCGATGAATTTAAACATGTTCTCCATGAAGCCGTTCAGATAGTCAATTTCATAAAATCTCGAGCCTTAAACTCGCGTTTATTTTCAAAAACTATGCTCTGAAATGGGAAGTGATCATATTCAGTTATTGCTACACACGGAGATAAGATGGCTATCAAAAGGAAAAATGTTGAACAAGTTATTCGAGTTGCGTTCTGTGCGTTCTGCACAGTTCATGTGTTTTTAATGGAAACCAATTTTGAACTGCGTGATCGGTTATTAGATGAATTGTGGCTTACAACACTAGCTTACTTAACAGATATATTTAATCGATTAAATGACCTAAACTTAAGCTTACAAGGTAAATCACATAATCGATTTTCTGTAAACGACAAAATAAATGCTTTTATCAAGAAATGTTATATGATGAAAACTAGTGTTTCAAACAAAGACTTGCAGTCGTTTTACCAATTTAGAAAATTTTGTGTTGAGCTTGAAATAAAGATTAAAGATGATCTTATTATTAACATAAAACAGCATTGTCAAATGCTAATTGATAGTTTTAAAGAATATTTTGACGAAGACTATGCTCAGTTTCTTTGGATACGACAACCATTTATTTTGGATAGCATTCCTGAATCATTAAAACAGGATGAAAAAGAATCTTTAATAGAACTATCTTGTGATGGAGGCTTGAAAATAGAGTTTTCTAAATTATAATTAGCTGAATTCTGGCTAAATATTAAAAATGAATATCCAGCCTTATCAGAAAAAGCATTGTTATTTTTACTTCCTTTTACGACAACCTACCTGTGTGAAACTGGATTTTCTGCTATGCTACAACTGAAAAATAAATTTCGCAGTAGGCTTAATGTTTATCCAAATTTACGAATGAAACTAAGCACAATTGATCCTGATATCGATTCACTTGTTGTAGCTATGCAGAACCATCCTTCTCACTGAATTTTTGGATTGGGTCAGACTGTAAGTTTTATTTTGTAACATTTATAATGCCCTCTTTTAAATAAATACATTTTTGCCAAAATTAGTAAATTTTATTATCTACTTTTTTAATAGGTGGTACGCGATTGACGCAGAATTTATGTAAGTGGTACGTGTAAAAAAAAGTTTGAGAATCGCTGCGATAGAAGATGTCGTGAATAAGATAATAACAAAAATCGGCATTAAAAATATTTATTTTAATATCCATTTAAACGTTTATAACAATAGATTATAATTACTAATATAATAATTAATTTATAATAATTACTAATATAATATAAGTTTTGATTCGATATTTTATTTTGATTCTTCCTGTAACTGAATTACACTTATTTAAAATATGTTTTTAGGAGTTCTCTATCACCGATGGGGTAAAAAGGAGAAAGCACGCCAGATGTATCAAAAAGCCCTTGAAATTAACCCGACCCTAAAATCGGCCGAACTGAACCTCAAAAGACTAACCACTGATGCTCAAAAAGACAAACTTTAAGAAATTGTGTTACTCTACAAAAAAATTCAACCTGAAACACTCATGTTTTGATCTTTTATGAATATGTAATTTTATTTTCTGTGATTTTATATTTATAAATATATTATTTATTATTTTTTGTAGTTTTTTTATAATATCGATGCCCCTGTACAAAAGTATAAATCTCACAAGCACTATAATTATTGCAAATAGTTTTGTAGAAATGTATAATTGAAGTTATGGAATGGTGAGAGATGATTCCCGATCCAAAACCACATTGACCATTTGTACGATATGCTTAATTTACGCTAGTTACAGATGTTCTGGACGAATTGCAAACTATAATGATGGATAGTATCCGAAAGCTTCTTAGGAATACGCGCTGATAGTGTGCTACTGCAAATAATGCACATTCTTCTTCTTCTTCGGATGCCATATAGTCATAAGACGACTAGAAAACCCTATTTTGTCTGTCTAAATATAGTAGCGACATTTGGTATTCCACATCAGGCCCTTATGTCTTTCTAGACCAATATATCTCCGATATAATAAGTAAATCTCATGACGATGTTCAATTATATTCCAATTGACTTTGTAAGGACGTATTGTGCTGTTGTGTATTATCACCATTAATTTTGTTTTGGCAATATTAATAAGATTCATCGGATATGTTAACTTTGTTCAAAATTGCTTGAAGGTCTCCAATGTTATTAGCTATTATTGTGGTATTGTCTGCGTAACGAATATTATTTATTGAAACGTCATTAATCTTGATAACTTGTGTATTATTTCCTAATGTTAGTTCATAATCCCTTCATAATCAGCAGCACCAACTCGTACTTATCATTTCTACGTATGTGCCCCAAATATGCTGTCTTTCGCCACTTAATGGTGGTCAAAAGTTCTCTGTCTCTTTCCATTCTTTGCAACACCATTTCGTTCGTAATATTATCGGTCCATGGTATCTCCAAAATTCTCACCAGATTTGTATATGTTTTTAAAGAGTATAGTTATTGCACTTAAATTGTCTTCGTCTATAAATTTGTAACGACTATTTTGCTTACCACAGGGTAAGAATATGGGGGACAAGATTGGGCAAACAAAATAATCGAAACAAGTGCATACGACACTCAGTTGGTTGTTGGAGAGCTGGGTCGTGGATAAGTTGAAGATATTGGGGGTTAGATTGGGGCAACTACAAAAAAGGAAATGAAAGGTACTTATACGAATCTATTGGACAAACAGAATGAAAATAAACGGAAACACCTCAAGAAATTTAATATAGGGCGCCACTTGAGGTGCCCAATTATACCTATTACAACCACTAGTTGTAACTAGGGAAATAATTGTATAACATCAAAAATATAGAAAAAAATATCTTTTTCAAATAAAACTCAAAATAGATCAGAGAAACAAATTGAACGTTTATTCTTGTCTCAAACAAAACAGATCAAAAATACATATTATAAAAGAAACATATCGTATAACATAATACAAATAACAAAAACTTACATGTTCTTTGTTTACTATATTATGGCCAATTAGATTATCAAAAATTAAGGATCCTTCTTAATGAAAACATATAAATTTAACCTTATATATGAAATATCGTTTCTACATAATAATCAAATTAAAATTGTCATAACAAAAAAACAAATTAAACTTGCTGTCAGGTATCACATTTAATTTTGATGACAAAGAATGAAAGCAATTATTACTTTAGCCAAAAAATATGTCTTTACTTTGAAAAATTAATATATTGAATTGTTACCTTAAAATTTACATATTTCGCATTTAAACTTTGAAACTTGCTACATCTCTGGTACTGAAACTGCAAGGACGAAACTCTCGAACAAGGGGAACCATTTCCATACTCAGGAACAAAAGAAGACCATCTCCATAATTTGGAACGCCGATCTGACGTAGATGGGTTGTATCAAACAAGAAAAACGACAACAAAGCTAAGGGACATCCTATATAATACTTTTCAAAACGGTATCTATACAAATCTTCTAATGTACTCCAAAGAAAAAAATAGAAATAGTGGTGACTCTTTTCTAAACTGACATATTACATAGAGTCTAATATTCTCAACCAATTTTGCCGGTCTCTTTACCGACAAATCAAAACGTCTTCTCCATTCGAATCTTTTCTTCCACTCTACATTGTAGCACGTCTGCCCTGCTTGGAACTTAAATGTCGACTTCCTTGCTTCGTTACATTTTACAAGAAACTCGCCAAAAATTTCCCTTCCGTCTTGCAGCTAACCTGTCCCCACAAACTCAAGAACCAAAACAATATCCCCTCGCTCGTATCGACAAAAAAACCCAACTTTTAAATGTTCCTTTATTGCCTAAACAAACAAATATTCTTTTTTTTTTGACCTTCGTCCAATAACGAAAAACAACTATAATATTAGGGGAATTCATGTTTATTTCGTTTTTAAACGAAGAAAACAAATAAAACCTTTTTTTTATCAGGGGGCATCATAAATTTACATAATACAAATTAACATACCGTATTTTAAAGTTGAGTTTTACCTGACTTATAACAAAAGGTTCGATATTTGAATCTAAACACAGACAAAAAATATATCCAGTGTTATTACGCATTTTAGAAATCTAGTCAAAAAAACTTGAAATATTTACATTTAACTTCTCCGTAGTTATATTAAATCGATCGATTTCTTGGCCAAAACAACAGGGACGTACCACAGAAACTTTTCTATACACTTTAAATAAAAAAACGCTACAAATTTAATCCGCTCAATATGAATTTCATCTGGCTCAAGGGCTCTGCCAGATTTTGAGTTGTTTATAGCATGTTGGACTTCAATTTTAATATTATTGGAGCTTCCTCGTTATCAATTTGTGTTGGTATCGTTCTTGTGTCCATGAAAAGACCTTCAATATATTTAGTACATACTTGTTTGCTTTCAATTGGGTTATTAATAGGTTTATTGTTTTTGTCAATTAATCGGTTAGGTGTATTTTTTCGTGATTTTCCAGATAATTCTTTCACTTTTTTATGTAAATTATAATGATCATGCTTTTTCTGCAATTCTTCCATTTCGATGCATGTTTCCATCATCCACTTTTCTTAGCCTCTTTTATTTTGTTCGTTATTAATTTATGTTTTTTCTGTACTTATTTGGGTTTTTATTTCTATATTTTCTTCTTTTTTTCCATGATTTCGAGTATTTCTTGAGTCATACAAGGTTTCGGCTTTCTGTTTTCTTTTGTAGAGTTTCTTTTTGTGTTTTTATAACAGAATCTTTGATTTTGCTCCACATAATATTCACATTCTTAGTGTTTTTCATTGCTGATATTAATTTCTTCATTTCTTGATTAATACAAGTTGAAGCCTCAGCACGGATTTCATTTATCTTGAGTAACTCAGTATTCACCTTAGAACTTTTGGATTTTATTATCTTTTTTACCCTCAGTTTAATTTTTGAGACAAGGAGGTTATGGTCTGAGGGGGCATCTGCTAAATCCCATTAATATTTCGAAAATGTTCGTTAAAAAATATTTATTAGTGCAGATTTCTGGCTTGGCTTCAACACAGTTCTTTTATTATTCTTATATCCTTATTAATAGCAATTTCCTGTAATAGCTATTAAAAATGGTTCATGCCTGATAGGCTTTTAGATAGTTAATGAAGCATATACAAACATCAAGTCTTTAGTCATAGTATTTTTGTATAAGTAACAAAGACAATAGTGGTTCTCTAGTGCAAATTCCTTTAATAAATTAGAACTGTGTATCCCCGCTCATATTTTCGCATTTTTTGTACATCTTTGAATAAATTACTATCAGAAATGACTTGAGAGCGTGACTCATCAAACCGATTGTGTAGTATTTAGAAACTTTGGAAGTTATTCTCTTTGGTATAGCGACTAATACTTTAATACATATTAAAGTATCTAAAGTGATGGTTTGGGTTTTAAAGAATTTGAATAAAAAACACACAAATTGCGCTAAACGTGAAATTTAATAAATAATTTAAATAATATCACAATTATCGTTGATACAACTGTGAGAATCAGGCCGTTCTACAATAAAAAAACAAATAAATAGACAACAAACCTAAAACTAATCAAACAACATTGATTATATAAGATAGGTAAAGAAACCTTGTTTGGCTTTCTAAATTTTTAATCTTTACCTACCGCCTACAATCAATCAAAAATTACTTTACTACAAGCAATTCCTCCGTTCATCCAAATTTAATATGGCTATTCTAAAAATATGGGTAAACTGTAATCGTTTATCTATACTAATGTCTCTTTTAATAAATTTTAATAAATCTACAATTTTTACACTCAAAACATTCCAGAAGACTTATTCGTTGACCTACAGATTAAAAGCAGGCACAAGCCTTCACTACTTATCATACAGAAGCAAAAATATTTAGTGAAAACCGTGGGTTATTGCTAAAAACCAGAATCTTCGAAGAAACTCTTACAATTATTATTGTTATATTTTCATCGATTTTGTATTTTTTATAGATTTTAGCACATTTTAATAAACATACCTTGTAAAAAGGCTCATTCACCTGCGATCAAATTGCGCATACAGTGTATGGTGTCGGTTCACATGAGATTGTGTAAAAATTTTATGTAAGGGTGAGCTGTTTGCGAAATTTGATCGAAAGTGTATAGAGACTATTCACCTGCGACTAAATTGCGCAACCGAGGCTTGTACAAATAATGGCAGAGGGTATGGTGTTGGTTCACGTGTGATCGCATACAAATGCATTGTGTAAGGGTGAGCCGTTTGCGCAGTAATCTTTTGTATAGTTTAAGTTTGTGCAATTTGGCGCAGATGTAGATGGCTTATTGTTATAACAAAGATTACAAATATACAAATTAATAAATATTAATATCTTAAGAAACGTGAGCTCTAAATTAACAAGCATAGCCAATAAATATTTATACTTTTAGGTCTTTGGTTTTATCACAATTAAGTTGATTTAGTTAAAGCTGTAGTGCTAAAATTAAGAATATAGGTGCATTAGACGACAGTAAATAAAAATTTACAAATATTGAGGTATCATTAATTTCAGATAAATATTAAACAAACATAGAATGAGACTGAGAATTGTGCTTTAAATCACAATTATTATTATTCGTTT